ACTACGATAAGAAGCTCTAGGCTTCTGACCAGGTGGAAAGCTCTTTTCTGCCCTCCTGTGTGAATCAGACTCTTCCTTTTTTCCCCCATATCTCAAGCCAGTAAGAGATAATGGATAGTGTCAAACTAGAATTCAAGGGACCTGGGTTCAAATCCTCGCTAAGCCATGGGTGAGAGGGGCAGCAATGATAAAACACTTGCTGAACATTTCACATGCTGTATCAAGGAATATAATATACTTCTGAAACACTGGGAGTTCAAGTCAGAGATACTGATGAAATTGTCAAGGACATCTTTTATTGACGGATGAGTAACAGGTAGATCAAGGCTGGTGCAATCTAGCTCAGTATGCATGTCTGTGAAAGGAAATGAAAAGAGAAAGAAAAGAAAATGCACAAAGGGCTGGACAACGCACATTGTTAAATATGAAGAATCAATGCAGTTTCACTTTCTTTTCACGTTCAAATATGTACAGCCTCCATTGGGATCAAGGCTATCACAGGCCAGTAGAGGAGGTTTAAGCCCACCTTGAATGGTAAGCTGTTCCCCCGCAAACCAGGGCTAAAAGAGAAGGAAAAAACCATGTTGGCTGAGGAGTTGTAACTGTAGTCCAGACAGCACTTCTCCTAATCTCTCTTCAGTTGTTCGGGTTTCAGTTTGCTGCACTTGGGTCTGAGGATCTACCGCTACATTTCCAAAATGCCCTTAGACATCTTGACCTCAATTCTAATACACAAGTCTTTCGGGTCGCCAGGGCAGAGGAAAGGTTAAGCTGCCAGTCCACATGGTTCCTGAATGTAGAACTGAATGGAGATGAACTCTGCCCTTTGCTTCAGGCAGCAAAATATCTTGGGCTCCTCCAACAGAATACATTCCAGAAATTCTCTTCCTGGTTAAACCTGAATAACTGTAAAGCAGAGCTTGGAAAAGTTAATTTTCTAGACTACAGCTACCAAAATCCCACAGCCGATATAGCTAGTAGGCACCCGGTAATGCAGGTGTCAGTATGGACCAGCCTTCTCAAGCACCACACTACAGATGGGTGCTTTGTATAGCTTCATATAAAGCACCCTAGGTGGTGCTGAGTTCCATACATCTCTTCCCCCCACCCCGGGCAGCTGGTCCACTTACCAGTCTATCCATGCTGCTGGGGTCCTTCTTCAGCAGCAGGGCTCCAATCCAAGCCCAGCCAGCCTTTCCCTGCCTCCCCAGGCAACCAACCACTCATCAGCTGGGCAGGGAGAGTCCCTGTCCTGCCTGCCTGCCAGAATGCTTGGCTGCTTGGGGAGGCAGGGAAAGGCTGGCTGGGCTCCTGCTGGGATTGGAGCGCCCCAGCAGCATGTGGAGCCTGATAAGTGAACCAATCGGCCTCGGGGGAGAGAGATGAAACTCAGCAACCCCTGTGGTGTTGTGCTTTATACAAAGCTGTACGAAGCACAAAGCGCCCATACCTACTCCACACCAAACATGCCCCCCCCAAGTCAATGGTGTGGTATTTTGACAATGCACATGATAAAGCCAACCTTTATCCTTGCAAAAAAGAGAGATGCTCACGGCAACCCAAGGCAAACTAAAAAAAATTCTGGTGGATTGCTTTGAGGTACTCTTGGATGAGGACATTCTGATGATGGCTGTCAACAGATGTTCTTGGAGAGACATAGGAACTGTCTGGAAAATAATAAAGCAACTTCCTTCCTCAGGCAAAATCACAGGTGTCTTTATTTTTAGATAATATCTGAAGAATGCACTTTTTGTGTGTGAAACAGGCACATACTGTTCTTTGAAGCGGTGTCTAGAATTTTAATTACTCTCCCTCGCCCCTCCCCTGGTGCTGTCAGCTCTGTCCCGCAACTGAAGCTAATGGTGCCTGCTGAAAATCATCTTCAATATCTTTTCTAAAGCTAGAGTTTTCACAATAATGACATGTTTACTCTTTGACACTGTGTTTGACTCTGTTGTCTTACTCTAATAGAGAAAAAACCTCATATTCCAGACAGCAAAACCAAATTACTACACAAAGTCCAAAGAACTGAAACTTTACATTCAACTCCTGTCAATTTATTCAGCTTGGGGGATATAATACTGATATATTTAAATGAGGATTACAGGGGTTAACCAACTTTTTGGAATAATCAATTGGAGTTTCAGTCTTATACACACTTGTTTGGGTCCCAGTTGTGCTTATCTCTAAGAACAGAAATGTAGAGCACTGGATGTCTTAAAACTTTTAACCTGCAATATTTTTTACCTGAATCTTCTTTCTCCCTCTTAGGCCCAGGTATGTTTGGACAGAAATGCAGGTTAAAAGTTTTTATTTCAATCATAAGACTTCATTGTAGAGCTGAACTCTATGCCCTGATGTGTGCATGTGTTCGGGAGTCCAAGCCATTCAGATTCTCCCATTTTAGGCTGGCATTCGGCTCCTAAAAGACTACAATGAATTCGTTTACACAGGAACATGCAAGGAGCACTTTATTTACACTTATCTATGAACATTCATTGAATTGTGGTGCTAGAGGAGACTCTTGAGAGTCCCCTGGACTGCAAGGAGAACAAACCTATCTGTTCTGAAGGAAATCAACCCTGAGTGCCCACTGGAAGGACAGATCCTGAAGCTGAGGCTCCAACACTTTGGCCATCTCGTGAGAAGAGAAGACTCCCGGGAAAAGACCCTGATGTTGGGAAAATGTGAAGACAAGAGGAGAAGGGGACGACCGAGGATGAGATGGTTGGACAGTGTCATCGAAGCGACCAACATGACTTTGACCCAACTCCGGGAGGCCATGGAAGACAGGAGGGGCCTGGGGTGCTCTGGTCCCATGGGATCACGAAGAGTCGGACACGACTAAACAACAATGAACATCCATGCAAAAGAACTCATCTTATTCCACCTCCTCCAATGTCTAACTGAACGAATGCAAATAGTAACAGCTGAACCACAACTCTTTCAAGGTAAAATTCAAATTTTAAGATAAAGTAGTGTGGGTGGGATAATTTAAAACAGCTTTCCCAGGTATTTAAAACAACCCTCCAGGTATGTTGCATAATCTACTCTAATTAACAAGGAGCATGGGGGAGGGAGCAGAGGGGGTCTGGGATTTAGAAGAAGCTTCCACCGTCTCTCCCAAACCATCGATTTTGTTAAAACACGGACACTGTAAATCCTTACATGCACTGGGATTGTTTTTTTTTTTCCAAAATAATAATAATTCGTGATAGCGGAGACCGGGAGGGAGGACAGAATACGAAGCGAATAAAAAAAATTAAATTTCTGCAGGGCGGGTGGGCTACGGTGAGAAGAAACACGTGTTGCGTGGGCGCTTCTCACGTTCTCTGGCAGCTCTCTTGTCATAACCGACCAGTGACGGAGAGAAGGCACCCCACATATGCTCCGATGCGCGGATCTTCCTCCTGGGATTAGGATGCGCGGCGCAAGTAGAGTTAGGATCTCCCCGGCATTTTGCTCCTCTTCAAATGCAAGCTCGTTAAATCTCTTTAACGTGCAGGATGGCGTTGCCGTGACCACTCGGCGGTGAGAGCAGGAGAAGGGGGAGATAAAGAGGTGCATTCTGTACATGCTCAGGAGCACGGTTTATCTCAACTAGCAAAATATCAGCAGGGAAATAGTGAATTGGCCGGAAAGTCCCTGGGGGGGGGAAATCCACGCTTGTGCAAAACTCCTCCCTCCCCATTAATTCCAAACACTTCGTTTCCTTCCTTCGCTCCATCCCCGTCCAGCTGAAGCTCCTCCCCTTCAGCTGGGAGGGGGATGGCTCCGCCCCTTGAAAGCCGCCTAGGCTCCTCCCCCTCCCGAAGGGGCCGCCCATTTGTGCGCGCCCTGCACTTCCTGCCTCTCGAACTGAGCTCTCAGAAGCCCCGCCCCCTCCCTCCCTCTCGGCTTTGATGGACGGGTTGTGACGGCCAGCTGGCTCCGCCCCCACTCCTTGCCTTCTGCCGAACGGAGCTCTCAAAAGCCCCACCCCCCCGGTCCTTTGATGGACGGGTTGTGGAGGCCTGGTGGCCCCGCCTTCGCATCTTGCCCGCCGAGCCGTCCTCTCTCGGGAGCCACGTCCCCTTCCTCCCCCCCGCACCCCCTCCCCACCGGTCTTTGATGGACGGGTCGTGAAGGCCAGCTTGGCCCCGCCTTCAACTCCTTGCCTTTTGCCGGACTGAAATCTCAGAAGCCCCGCCCCCGCCCCCAGATCTGTCATGGACGGGTAGTGAAGGCCCAGGTGGCCCCGCCCTCCCGTCTTGCCCGCCGAACCGAGCCGCCAGGAGCCCCGCCCCTTCCTCGTTGATGGACGGGCCGTGAGGGCCGGGGTTGGCCCCGCCCCGTTGTTTACCGCTCGTCCGGCCTGGAAAGAGAGAGCGAGAGGCGGGAAGGCGGGGATGAGGGAGGGAAGGCGGGAGCCCGTCGCGGCGCTTTCCCTTTCCCGCCTCCATGTTGTTGCCTGAGGAGGCAGCGGAGGCTCCTCTTTTCCCTTCTTCTTCCTCCTCCTCCTCTTCTTCTGTCCTTCCTCCTCCTCCTCTTCTTCTTCTTCCCCCTCAGTGGGAGCCCGCGCGGGTCTGAGGGGACGCCGACGGCGGGAGGAGCAGCAGCAGCTGAGGCGCTGAGGGGAAGCCGGGTTGTGGGGGGGGGCGCCCGAAGAAGGCGACGGAGAAGGTGGCGCTTCCTCCTCTGAGGGGAGCTGACAGGAGGAAGGACGACGACGACGGAGCAGGAGGAGGAGGACGACGAGGGGGAGGAGGGGAGGCAGGCTTCCGAGCGGGACGGACCGACCGACCGGCAGGCAGGCTGAGGGGAATCGCAGGAGGAGCAGCGGCGGCGGTTGTGGCGCAGCACGGCGAAGTCCTTTGGGGTGGCAACACGGAGTCCTAGTCCTCACTGCCAGCTTCTCTCAACACCATACATTTAAGATCCATTTCCTTGTACACGCTCTGCTGAAATAAAACTCCTTGTTCTATACCCACCATTGCTGCTCAGGGTGGTTGTTATATTCCCTCTTTCCTCCCCCCCCCCGGTCTTCCTTCTCCTGGGAAAGGGGCAGTTTTAGGGGGTGGGAGAGAGAAGGGGGGGTTGTCCATCCAGGCAAACTTTAGGGCTCGTCTCCTGAAGGGGAGGAAGGTTTCCTGACAAGTGGGATGAGCCCCTCTTTTGCAGGGGGAAAATGACAGATCAAGGGGGCTTCTGCGCAAGGTGTCAATTTGAATTGGATTTTAAGGGGGAAGGGTGATGTAAAGGTTCCCTCTCTCCTCCCCCCCTCTTTTTTTTTTAATTTTAATGGGATCAACTCAGGGCAGCCTGGGGTCTGCATCCGTTCAGGAGCTACAGGATACATTAGGGTTTTTTTTTTGTTGGGGGGGTTAGGTGCAAAGTATAACTAGTAACCCACCCCATCTGTCTTTTTAAAGCTGTCTTGGGGTGGCTGTTCGAGGCGGGTATTTTTTTGTGCCTGTTTTAGGGATCTGGAGTGGCACTAGGTTTATTCTTATTTGGAATGGTACAGGTTTTTGCTTTTGGTGGGGTAGCTCTGGGATTTTTCTTTTTGCCTTTAAAACAACCACCACCCTTTCGTTGAAGAAGTACAGAAGAGACCTGTTTGTGCGCTGCCTTCTATTACAATTTTTTCTGTGGCTTGGCTTCATTCCTGGAGGAGTTTTTTCCCCCCTGCGTATAAATCTGCCTATTGATTTCCAAAAAAGAAAACAAATAAAGAGAAACGCATATAAACGCACACTGAACCTGCCTCTGAGAGGGAAATAGCCAGGTGAAAAACGCACTCAGTTTCCATGGACAACCCGTCCATTATCACCCAGGTGACTAACCCCAAAGAGGAAGAAATCCTGTCTTGTTCTCAGGATAAAGGTGAGAAGCTGTTCTCTACTGAGTACATACTTATGTAATGGTTGCTGACAAACGGATACAATTATATAGTTATATTGTGATATTAATTCCAGCATATGCCTGCCTGTTTTTGTACATTGAACTTGCTGGATTGTGGGACACCCTAAACGTTTTCAGTGCTGCATAACCAGAATCCAGTAACAAATTAAAGCACATGAACTGCATTCTGCCACTTGCTTACGTTGGTCTCAGCCCTAGTCGGTGTTGAGTGCAACTCTTCCAACCTTGTTGTTTCTCTGTCACTTAGAGCTTGGGTTCGATCCAAGCCCTGGAAAGGCAGACCTTTACTGAACATACTAGAATGGTTTTTAAACATTGGCATTCCAACAGTGGGAAATGTTTTTTTGGAGGAGGAGAAGCTATTATAAACATCCCTTTAAAATGAGTAGAACGATTGATCTGAAGAGACATTTTATTTAAGGTACTGTACTTGGATGTTTGGCATCTGAAAAGTGTAGGGTAAAACTTCCTGTCGGGAGACTGATTTGGATGAAAAATCTTACCATTGGATAGTCACAAACTGGCATTAGGGTACTCCAGAAGTCAGCTCAGATAATTGCTCTTATTTTTTTTTACTTCAGTGGAAGGCTTGAAAAATTGTGAAGCTTGGTTTCATGAAAACTTCAAAATTGAGAGATGTATTAGACCTGCATGTGAAACAAGTTGTTTGTTGTAGACTGCAGAGGGAGGTATGGCGAAATGATAGGCTATCTATAAAAATAAACTATATGGAATAAGACTAGTGGTGCTGACGTTGCCAGAAGAATAAACTTGAACTCATTAGAATGATTTTGAAATCTTGACATCCGAGAAATTTGTTTTTATTTAGGTGGAGGGGCTGGCCTTTTTAAATGAGTGCAGATTGCCTCGCCCCCTTTTTTAAAAAGGAAAAATGTGTGAGTTGTTGAAGCTGTATATTCTACTGAATATCTTGTCTGCTCCAGTTCTCTACTAGTTTGGTCTGGGATCATGTGGGTTAAGGAACAGAATTCTGACTGGTATTGGCTGGATATACAGTACTGATGTGGAGAAGGCAATTGAATTAGCTATTCCTCTGATTCCTGTTTGCTCTTTAATTCTGTGATTTTCCTTCTTCATGTTTTAAATTTGCATTAATAGCATTAGTATTAATAATAATAATTAGCATACAGTTTGTAATAAAAAGGAGAAACAGGGTTAATACAGATTTAAAGTTCTCTGTAACCTTAGCAATTGTTAGTTAAAATTTGGTTCTTCCATATTGAATTCAGTTGTCCCTTTTTCCCTCCAATGCCAGAAACTCCTTTGGTGTTCTAAACTGTTTCTTGGTATTGCTGGTGGTAATGTTAATGTGGAGGCAACCTGATTATGGACAAGTAGTCTTCATAAAATAGAGCAGTTTAGGCTGTTTTTTTCCTTGCTGTTTAGAAGCTAAAGACATGCCTGGCCCATAAATATTTACAGTGGAGGAAAGCTACCAGAAACAAATCTGAAAGCTTACTGGCTGTTTTTGTTTTTTGTTTTGTTTTGTTTTGCTCTGGTGTCTACTGAAATTACAAAGAGAACTGATACTTCTCACTTTGCAGGCAGGCTATTGTGATGTGGGTGAAGTTCATGTGCATTAGGGATTGGTGCAGATATGTTTCAAATCTCTCTTTATGTTCAAGAAGGAGCCAATCATGGGCCTGCATGCTTGTACAGTACTTGTGACAGTTGGTTTAAACCAGGGTTAAGATTTGGTACTACCCTGAAACAATCAATTCCAGCCATAATTGTCCTAATCAGAGATTGATCATTTTTAGCAGACAATGATTAGTGTCAACTGTGGGAAAGGAAAAGTTGAGGAACACACTGAGCAGAGGAACTATCGGAAGGGAATACTTGTTTGTGACTTGCTTCTTAATTGTGTTTTAACACATCAGAGTGACTCTAGGAGAAACAGTTCTACAAGTCAGATGAATTCATTTTGAAAACTCAACTTTTTGGCACTAAAAGTTGTCTGTAACCTGCTGTGATGAAGATTTAGTTGCAAACCTGTTAAATATATATAAAAAAGACATGACATGGTTCTCTAGACTTCTGATGCTGAGACAAGCAGGGTAGTAGACTCCTGATGCTGTTTTTCCACCATGCCCTGCTTATAATGGTCTTTGAAATATATGTCTCACTACTGCTAGAAACGGAATCATCTTAATCAAGGTTATTTATGTGCCGCTTTTGCCAATCAGACCCAAATTGGCTCACAAGGCCGTAAACAGATACATAAATATGTAGGACTAGATGGGCTGTGGTCTACTCCAGGAAGTCTGTGTTTTGTTATGCCACTGGAGACTGCTGCTTTGAGGTACAGTAGTTTGAATTGCCTCAGTAATGAAGCCAAAACTTTAAAAAATACTACCTCTCCAGTGCAGGCATGTGCATGCCTACTCATTTTAAATTATATTCTGTTGCTCCCAAGTACGTAACTGTTACAGGACCTTGGATCTGGTGAGGAGAGGAGAGGCCTGTTTGTATGATGGGAAGTTCCAACTTTTCAATGTTTAAATGAGAAGACATCAAGTAAACTAGGTGCTTCAATTGGCCTTGTCTACCCAACTGAAGTAGCCCTAATTACTACTTCCGTTGGGTACAAGGAGATTGTTGCCCTTGTTATGGAATAACCCACTAACAGTGTAATTCTAAGTAGAAAACTGGTTTTGACACACCTGCTCTCCAGGATGAAGTACCCTCGTCATTTTACATGCCAACTGCCAGCACCATATGGCTCCTCCTTCTAAATTCTTTTTTGTACTGCAGTTTGGAGGAGGAGGAGGAGAGAAAAATATTTTTTTTACCTTGCAGAAAATGACTCCTCTCTTTCTGAAGCCTTCTGCACATGCCAAAGGACAGTAGAGGGAAGACTGTTGGAGGCAAAAATGGACTGAAATTGCATGAGATTAAGAAAATGTGTGTAGGCGTTTAGGTTTTGCATATTGCTATCCACATGATATTGAATTCATTTTGGCAGGACATCTGTAGCAGGACTACTTGTAACAACATGTTTAACCTGTCTTTCTTATTGATCTCTTCAGTTTTGTGAACTGTACATTCATGTTTTTATTTTATTTCACAATGAATTTGTGAAATATATAGACTGAGAGGGAAGGATTTGGTTGAGAATGTCCAATGAGGTTCATTACTGAATAGGTATTGGAACACATCTGGAATGTCCTATATTGGGAAATCTGTTCTAGCTAGCAGATCACATAAATAAGTTCCTTGAAAATGACAACTGTAACTCAGCATGTCTGAGACTGTGAGTTTATAACTTTTTGGAATATGGTGCTATGCCATGCAAAAGAGCATGGGTTGATGTTGTAAAACTAGTCTACTGAAGGGTATATGCGATTTGTTTCTGGAGAGGGGCATGCCCACCTTGAATGCATGAAGGAATTCTGCCAAGAGAAGATGAGAGTTTCGTAAATAATTTTAAAGATCAGCTTAAATAGATTTTTCTGATAGATATTCCGTGTTTCCCCCAAAATAAGACCGGGTGTTATATTAATTTTTGCTCTAAAAACGCATTAGGGCTTATCTTCAGGGGATATTTTTTTTCCCCAATGTACAACAATCTATATTTATTCAAATACAGTCATGTCATTTTCTGGTTGCTGCACAATAGTGGAGGGTAGGGTTTCACTTAACAGGCTTATTTTTGGGGTAAGGCTTATATTAAGAGCATCTTGAAAAATCATACTAGGGCTTATTTTCAGGGTACTAGGAGGAGGATTTCTATGACATGTCACACTTTCTCTGCAACCTATACTTAAATCCACAAGCAAGTTTAAACATGTTTATTAGCAATCTGAGCTTTCTCACTAGATTACTTATAAACATGTCCAAACTCACTTAAAAGTCCAATCACAGGCTGCAGAAAAATTATAACATGTCACAGAAATCTTCCCACTAGGTATCACTATTATTAATTAAGATTTCTCAAAAAAGAGCTATTTTTTATATTTTAATTGCTCGATCATAGTTCATTCAAAATCTCTCTGAAGTTAGTTCTAATTCAGCTTTTTGAAGATTTTTCAGAAACAAGAAAGGGGGTGTGATGGTGAAAAGCTTGGGAACCATCTGATATTTACTGTTTTGTTTAAAGTATATTATTTATTACACAGTTCTAGGGCTACATGATAAAAAGGACCAAAAAGCTAGCTTAGTATACAGTGGTGCCTCGCTTAAGTCTTTGAATTTTTTGTGAATTTTTTTCCCCCCATTGAAATAGGCTTCAATGCATTTCAGTGGGGGAACCGCGTTTTGCTTAACTTTTTTTCCTATGCCGATTTTCACTTAAAGATGGTAATCCGTTCCAATTGGAACGGATTATCCGGTTTTCAATGTATCTCTATGGGAAATGGTGTTTCGCTTAACGATGTTTTCACATAGCGATTTTTTTGAACCAATTAAAATCGTTAAGCGAGGCACCACTGTACCAGCTGTTGGTAGCTGCTGTTTGGATCCATTCTATAAACCTAAGCACCTAGCCTGATGCTTATGAATGCCTGCATGAAGATGTTGAGTTTTAAAGCTGATGATGTGATCTGTGTTTAGAGAAGGAAATGCATACTCAGGAACATTCATTGTGCAATAGTGGGAGGTCCCATTGCTGTCACTGGCCAGTTGGCATTTGGTGCATAGAGAGTCAAGGAACTGGACAGATCAAGGGTATGTTCAAGGAACTTTCCATTTTGCAGGATCCAAAACTGTCCTTCATTCAGTTTCCCAACAAGTTCAGCAAGTATGCCAGCCCTGGGACATTTAAGAAAAAAAGAATGGGAGGCAATGGACCAGTATCTGCCCCACTGGCATCTCCTGCTACAGCATACTGAGCCTGCCAGCAGGTCTGTGGAGGCTGTATCATTGATCTTGCCGCCCATATGAGTAGGAATGTTGTGTCTCTTTCATATTACAGTCCTGAAAAAGCATCTACTGTACATCTT